TAAATGCATTTGAGTTTCAGAAGTGAATCAGTAATTTAGAAAATCATAGTATACCTACTATTTAGAATAGCAGAGATCATGATGATGAAATATGAATAGTCAAAACATGGGGGAAAACCCATAATCGAGTCGTTTTATAGCATATTGGCAATTTTTGTTTGCCTGCTGCACAGTAGCTCTGCAGAATTTGGAACTCCTCTCCTCAGTGGACCTCAAGGTACGTACTTACTTCCCACTGCAAGTTTGTTCAGTTTAGAATAGGAAGGTCCTTTAGATGTCACCAAGCCCAGCTTCCCATTTCATAGATGAAGATTGAGGCCTCAAGAAATATGGCTCTTTTATGATTACCCAGAACGTGATAGCTGTTCTGGGACTAGAACCTAGGTCTCCTAATCCCCCATTCAGGCACTCTCTTCTGCACCAAACTGCTTCCATCACATACGTATATTACATCACATACATTCATCATCACACACTGTTCATTCCTATACCTAAAGGAGACTCCAAGCAATCCTTCTCACATTCAGCAAGAGAATTAAGCACTGTGCCCTAAGGCATCCATAACACTGTATGCAATGACTTAGTTTCTCTCTTATGTCCCTAGGAGTGGAATAGCCTATGTCCTATTCTTGGAAGAATTTGGAAGAATAGTCACTCAAATAATTTCTGTAGGGTTTAATTTTCTTGCAAATTCCCAACTGAGAAAATCTGCTAGAGTTTAGCCCCTTTGAATGATTGATTCTCTTTGGGCCAAGGAGTCCTTTATAGGGCCAACTGAAGTCTCCCCTGCTTTAATTTAATTCCATCTCCCTTTGCTCGGTGCCCCGAAGATGTGGAGAATTTATTAGCATGTCTCATAAAACTCTAGCATAGCAGGAAATTAAATTCATCTGGTATAATCAGCTGTTTGGAAAGCTTTGCTGGTTGCTCTGCTCTACTTTATGGTTGCCAAGGTGATTGCAAATGGATTGTTTGATGACTTGTTCTAGGATCTTTCCAGGTATTGATGTTAAGTTTAGACATTGACAAACCCAAGCATGAATAAAAAAGGTTTTCCATGATGGTAAAGGGGACTCTAGACCCAAGGGAACAAGCAACATTTAAGGTGAAGAGAAGAAAGCTCAGGAGAACTTCAATGAATTCTCCCAAAAGCTCCAGGACAGTCATAGAAGAGAGAGGAGACTTGTTTTGAGCGGCCTCAAGGGGGCAGACTTAAGAGCCATGGGTAAAAGTTGTAAGAAGATGGATTTCATTTCACTGCCTGGATAGTCAGAGAAATACACATCTACAGAGGGGGCTGGTGAGCTTGCCATCACTAGAGATGGCTCTCCGAGAGTTTTGGTGGATGCATTGTGTAAAGAGCTGACTAGACTGTGAGATGCTTCGTTCAAAACCCACAGACATCCCATCTAGCTATATAACTCAATGATAATGGTCATTTGCAGAATCATTCTTCTTTCTAAGGAACCAAGTTTTGTTCCTTTTTTGATTATTTTTCACAGCAATTCAAATTAAAAATAAATTACTCATCCATCCGTCTATGTCTTTCCACACATATGATTTGATAAGATAAATGTACATTCTATATATACATTTTGATTCAAAAATAAGATAACAACAACAAGCTATCTCTTTTCCAAGACAGCATGCTAAGTACTTTACACGCTTTCAATCTCTTTTAATTCATTTAAGTTTAATGAGATAATGCTATACAGAAATATTATTAAAGACAAGCATTTTAAACCATCATTTAGAAAGAAATCTATAGATGTTTATCGGCTTGAGGATCATAAAAATGGAAGGACTCTTGTCGAAGCCAAGACCCAAGATAAGATTTTCCTAACCTGTCCAGCTATTGGAGCAAGGGCATTCTCTAGCACCACGGAGCTTTATTCCTGTTCAAACATTCATTAGGTAAATCCAAATGTGGGTTTTTTTCCTGCTTGGCAGGCAGGAAGCGACAAATCAGTGTCTTAAGGGATTGACAAAATATGTAATTAGACACTATCAATCACCATAAAAGAGCCTGCTTTTTCTTATATCAGATAAAGGTGTATTTAGTCTACTAAGAACTTTCCAGTTCAACTGAAGCATTAACTCTCTAAGGTCACAAAGGCAGTAAGCAGTGCTACTCAAACTCCTCTGCTAGAAAATGAAATGACAGTGTTGGGCAGGGAAAACTCGTGAGGCCAAGAGACAGATCTGGACTCCAAATTTTCCCTACCACCTTGGACTGAACACTTCTCGATTTTTTACTTCAGTTTCCTCATTTGCAAACTGGGAGGAATATACTAAATGATCTATTAAACGCTTTCCCAGTCTAACTTTCTCTAACCTTATAATTCTCAAAGAAGGTCAGGAGAAAAGATTCTTGGTGATAATACAGCATCTTGAAATTTCTCCCAGCTCGGTGATGCAGCAGAGAGAGCGAGAGTGTGTCCATTTGTCAAGGCTGGTGGGCAAAGGCCCAGAACGTCCTGGTTGACATCAATAGTTTTCCCTTCTTGACTAAGTGTTTGTGGGATTTTTAAAAAGGTGTTTCCCAAAATATGAAGTTAAACTTTTAAGTGACTTGTATATATATATCTAAATAAATCATCAATTAATGTTTGTCCTACAAGAGTTTTCTCTTTCATTTTTTGTTACGGGAAGGTTAAACAATATGCTTATTTATTCCATAGTTTGACAAACAGGAAGGAGATTTTAAATGGTTTAGTTCCACAATTCGTTGTAGATGTGTATTTAAAGAAACACTGTTACATAACAGACATTGCCTCTTCCTAAAATGCACCCTACCAGAGCCAATTTTGGAAAGCACAAATATGGGGTGGGTATATTTTGAAAACTATGTGACCATAACAGATCCTTAATTAATATTTATGGTTTTATGGGAAATATATTTTTTTAAGGCATCTGTCTTGCAAAAAGACAGTTTCTGCTATTGAAGGAAGGGTACATGTAGATTAAATATTGTTTCTGAGCTTTACTTCTAGAATAAATATCCAAATTACTTTTGTCCTAAAGTATTTTATTGTTCTAATAGAGAAGACTAACAATGTAATCTAAATTACTAAGTAACTCATATAAACTTTACTGACAATGCATATTTGTGTGACATTTATATGTGAGAAAGCACTTTCACGCATATTATTATATAATTTGATTCTCACTCCAATGGAAGTGACTTTGTTCCTCCTTTAGAGATGGAGGAAATTAGGCCCCCTCTTTGTGATTTCCCTTTAAAAAGGTGAGTCAGGAACCTGGCTATTAGGATTCCAGTTGTAGTGCTTCTTCCCTAACTTCTGCTCCTTTCAGCATGTAATGATGCAGTACATTGAAAAAACTCAAAGACAGGTCTTAGAGTTAGAAAGACCTGGGTTCAAATCCAGCTTCCGGCACTGCCTGGCCATTGCCACTGGGCAAGTTATTTTCCTCTTTGAGCCTCATTTTTGAATTATGCTAAAAATAATTCCCCCTCCATGGGACTGTGGGAAGGATTAAATAGAATAATGCATGAAAAGTACATAGCAGAGTGTTCCCTAAATGTTAGCCATTGTTATGTTATTATGTAATCTGCAAAATATGTTTAGTTACACTGCTTGAAGTAGTTTCAGTTTTTCAGACACCACTAATACATGGGAAATTCAACCCTGATAATTAATTTCTTTTTAGCAGTGAAGTCATATGCCAGATGCAAAGGATAGTATTTCATGAACAAAGACCTTAATTTTAAGGCTTGGTCTTACTTTTTTTTTTTTTTAAGTAAGAATCATCTTTTGCTTTCTGTAGTTTCAAAATATTCTTAATGTTAACACATTCCTAATAACCAGAACCACATCAAATTTCCATTTTTGTAAGTCAGTGGCAATTTCATATGGTTCAACACAATAGATTAACAAACTCCAACAGATGAGAGGATTTTTTGTTTAGTTGCAACAGGGTTATTAAAGAAATTGTGTTTAAAAGGAAAATTATCCCATTTTCAATGCCTCTACAGTCTAGCAGACAACTAGTGATGCCACACTCCCAAGAATGAAAAACAAAAGCCTACAACTTTCTCTCTCCCTCCCAAGTCCCAAAATACATACATGCGTACCCCAGCTTTCCCAGTGAAATCCGAGGGGTAAAATCATCTGTCTTGATGCCTGCAAATTCCCCAGGAGGGCACCAAAAGTACTTGACAGTGAGTACGCTGAGGAAATCATCGTCTGCAGCTGTTGAAGTCCCCTCCTGTGGTCTTCCCAAATATTTGAAAGAGGATATACCGGCTTACTGGGAGGGGCAGCAGCGGCATGTACCAGTGCTTGGGTGAGGGGGGTTGTGAGTACCTGAATGGGGACATCGTGTCTCTGTCTCTCCACATGCGTCCAAGCGAGCGTCTGTACGTGTTTACTTCCTACTGCGTGTCAACACGCCTTTGTGCTTCTGGGTGCTTCTGTGTTTGTTTCTGGCCGCCGCGTCTCTGTGTTGGACAGGGGTGACTTTGTGCCTGTCGGGTTCTGTGTGAGCGCGCGCGAGTGTGCATGTCGGTGCCGCCGGGCGGGTGTGTCTCAGTGTCTGTGGCTCCGCATAAGTCTGAGCATGTCTGTTGGGGTGCATTTGTGCCTGTATGTGCGTGTCCCCGTGGGCACTCTCTTCTCTCTCTCCGAACGTAGGGGAATGTCCGTGTGCTGCGCTCTGCCCTGAGACCTCAGGCCGCGCAGCCTCCCAGGACAGACAGGTAGCAGCCACAGAAGAGCCTAGAGCTCCCGGGTTGACTGGTAAGCACGCTCGCCCCAGCTTTAGCACTCTGGGGCCAGCCAGGGTAGCCTGCAGGGAGTGGTGGCCCGCCCGCCAGGGAGCAGCTGGGCTCCGCCCGGGCCAGCCCCAGAAGCGGGGCGGGCGAGGGGAGGGGAGCGAAGGGGAGGGGTGCCTCGCCCCTTCGGGGCTGCCGGCGCCGCATTGGCCCAAAGTTCCTGTACGTCACCGGGAGGGCAGGTCCCCTAAAGTCCTGTGCACATAACGGGCAGAGCGCACTCCGAGGCGGCTTCTCCAGAGCGCAGGCTGGAACTGGCGGGCACAGCGAGCCCAGATCGCCCCACAAGCTGAGTGTGCAGGACGCGTCCCCACCACACCCACCCCACGGCCGCTGAATGAGGCTTCCAGGCGTCCGCTCGCGGCCCGCAGCGCCCCGCCGGAGGTCCGCGCGCTGAGGCGCCGGCAGCCAGTGCGCTCACCTGCCAGCCTGCGCGCCATGGGGCAGCCCGGGAACAGCAGTGTCTTCTTGCTGGCGCCCAACGGAAGCCACGCGCCGGACCACGACGTCACGCAGGAACGGGACGAGGCGTGGGTGGTGGGCATGGGCATCGTCATGTCGCTCATCGTCCTGGCCATCGTGTTTGGCAACGTGCTGGTCATCACAGCCATTGCCAGGTTCGAACGTCTGCAGACGGTCACCAATTACTTCATCACTTCTCTGGCCTGTGCTGACCTGGTCATGGGCCTGGCAGTGGTGCCCTTTGGGGCCAGCCATATCCTCATGAAAATGTGGACTTTTGGCAACTTCTGGTGCGAGTTTTGGACTTCCATTGACGTGCTGTGCGTCACGGCCAGCATTGAGACCCTGTGCGTGATCGCGGTGGATCGCTACTTTGCCATCACATCGCCCTTCAAGTATCAGAGCCTGCTGACCAAGAATAAGGCCCGGGTGGTCATTCTGATGGTGTGGGTCGTGTCAGGCCTTACCTCCTTCTTGCCCATCCAGATGCACTGGTACCGGGCCACCCACCAGGAAGCCATCAACTGCTACGCCGAGGAGACCTGCTGCGACTTCCTTACGAACCAAGCCTATGCCATTGCCTCCTCCATCGTGTCCTTCTACGTGCCCCTGGTGATCATGGTCTTCGTCTACTCCAGGGTCTTCCAGGTGGCCAAAAGGCAGCTCCAGAAGATTGACAAATCTGAGGGTCGCTTCCACTCGCAGCACCTCGGCCAGGTTGAGCAGGATGGGCGGAGCGGGCACGGACTCCGCAGGTCCTCCAAGTTCTACCTGAAGGAACACAAAGCCCTCAAGACACTAGGCATCATTATGGGCACTTTCACCCTCTGCTGGCTGCCCTTCTTCATCGTCAACATTGTGCATGCGATCCAGGATAACCTCATCCCTAAGGAAGTTTACATCCTCCTGAACTGGGTGGGCTATGTCAATTCTGCTTTCAACCCCCTTATCTACTGCCGGAGCCCAGATTTCAGGATTGCCTTCCAGGAGCTTCTGTGCCTGCGCAGGTCTTCTTTGAAGGCCTGTGGGAATGGCTATTCCAACAACAGCAACGGCAAAACCGAGTACTCAGGGGAGCAGAGTACCTATCACGTGGAGCAGGAGAAGGAAAACGAACTGCTGCGGGAGGACCCCCCAGGCAAGGCAGACTTTGTGAAGTGTCAAGGTACTGTGCCTAACGATAGCATTGATTCACAAGAGAGGAATTGTAGTACAAATGACTCACTGCTGTAAAGCAGGTTTTCTATTTTTTAAGATTCCCCCCCACCCACCACCAAAAGAACACTAAATAGACTATTTAACTTGAGTGTAATAAATTTAGAATAAAATTGTATAGAGATATGCAGGAGGAAGGGCATCCTTCTGCCTTTTTTTTTATTTTTTTAAGCTGTAAATTGAGTGTGTCTTGTACAGTTCAGCTCCTCTTTGCACAGAACTTGTAAATTTATATCTGAAGAGCTTTAGTCCTCGAGGACTTGGGTGTGCTGTATTTTGATGACTTTTTCAAGTATCTACCTCACTGGTCAAGTATTAGGGGTGATATATTGCTGCTGATAGTTTGTATCGGAAGGAGATTTTCCTTCCTGCACCCTTGGACTTGAGGCTCTTGAGTATCTCGGACCTCTCATCTGTGAACATGGACTGTCTCCTGCTCCTCTTATTTGCTCAAATGGGGTTTTGTAGGCAGGGACTTGAGGGGCAGCTTCAATTGTTTTCCTGAGCAAAGTCTAAAGTTTACAGTAAATAAATTGTTTGGTAATGTCTGCATTGCACCTGTTTCTCCAAAACCCCTTGACTGCAGTGTCTTTACCTCCCCCACTGGAAACCACAGGTAACTATTTGTAATAACTGCCCAATGACTTAACGTGGAATGATACCAGAATGACATGCACTGATTGCTTAACCCTTTCATTCGCCTTTGAATCTACTGCTGCAAACCGGCATCTCTCCTGACACTTGTGCCCCAAATCAGGTCTGCCTGCCCTCGGTATAACTCAGCTCGCCCCACGGTTATTGTTCTGTGTTGTTACCACAGAAACACTGACTCATAGGAGTGGAGTTATGGGCATATGTTTTGTCCCTCTATGCGCCCCCACCACCCACCTTCCAGTTCTACTTGTTTCATAACTGCTTATATTTCTATCTTTGCCATGTCTTATAGTGGAGCTCTTTGTACTGCATCAGGGCTTGGCATTTTAAGGATAAGGAAGATGTTCTTATGAAAAAGCTGCTCAAACGTGGCCTTGGAATTCCCAGGAAAAATAAAAGGGCATTGGTCACAGGGAGAAAAGCTGGAAAACACATAACTGATGAATACCTCATGACCTAGAAACAGGGCTTCAACCCCTGCTCCTCCTTTCCTTCCGTCCCTGTTTTCCTCTCTGGTTGACTCTCCTCACTTCAATATAAAGCAAAGTTTCTCAATTTCGGCACTGTTAGCAATAGGGCCAGATGACTCTTTGTGGTGGGGGGCGGTCCCACGCATTGCAGGATGTTTACCACCATTCCTGTCCTCTACCTGTTAGATGCCAGTAGCACCCCCTGAGTTATAACAACCAAAATTGTCTCCAGATATTGCCAAATACAGCCTGTGGGGTGAAATAGCCCCTGGTTGAGAGCCACTGATACAAACTTTAAAAATCTAAACAGATTTTTGGATTCTAATTCAAGTGCTTTATTTTGTTGTTCCTCAGAGGGATTTTTCATAGTTCACCCAGTCAGTGCCAGACCCTAGGCCAGTGCTCTTTCTGCTCCATCATGCTGCCTTCTAAACTGGCCTTCCAGCTGCCCAGGTATTGACCAGGAGACGTTAAGAAGGCTGTACATTAGGGCTGTACATGAATTGTTGGGGAGGGCTTATCAATGGAGGAGGCCCGTGGGTTATAATGGCCTGTTGGTGGAGAGATTATAATACTATTAAGAGGCGCATTAGGGGAAATCACAAAAGTAAACACATTTCTTCTCCCAGCCCCTTTCTATTTTTGCCTGTGTGTCTGAGCCAGAGCTTGGCCCAGGTCTGATGGAGTGGATCGTCCTCCTTGGCAATGCCGGGCTGGAGAGGATCCGCCTGCAGGGTTCATTGCCATTTCACTGGCTCCTAAAGCTGACTCCAATCCTCTCTTCCCTTCTGTCCCAGCCAAGGTCCCCAACCAGAAAAGCAATGGCCTTCTCTGCTTCCTGTCAGCTCAGTGGTGGGGCGTCTGGGTGAGCACTGAGCTCTCAGGAGAATGTTAGGTCCCCTTGTTTTTGGAAGGTGCCATGACGAATTGGAGAGTGTGTGTCATTCGGCACTTTTACTTTTTCTCCATGAGTTTTCATACCTATTATCACATTCTCTTTCTACTGCTCTGGGCCCCACACCCAGAGATTTGGGCAGCTTCTCCAGCTAATCTTCACTCTCCGAGTAGCCTCATGGGATCTTGGACATGGAAGAGCCCGTAGAAAGCATTTGACATCTGAAGAGACCAAAAGCCTGTGAGGGGGGAATGACCTGCCCAAGGTAAGCAGCCAAGGATGTCAGAGCAGGGCTCAGGCCAGGGAACCCGACTGCTGTTCCGAGAACTGCTGTGTTCTCTCCACCATGTCGGCATGAGTTCTGTCCTCACCCGCATTGTGGAAGCTTTTTCTGGGGCTACGGCATGACAAATTCATGTCAGCAGGTGCTTTTTTTCTTTTGGATCCTTAATGCAAAATTCAAGAAATAAAGTAATAATCTGAAGGAGGAATAAGAGAAAGAATTGTTCCTTTTTCTCCACAAAAATCCACCGGGATATCCTCTGCATTTAGGGAAGCTGGGAGATGCCTTAACTCTTTATGATGTGCCAGGAATTTCAAGCCACTCCATGTAGAAATTTCCTGTGGTCTTGTTTCAAAAAAAATAGTTGGAAACTGTCATCATTTGTAAGTCTTGTGGACAAGAAATATCATTAATAAACAATGTCAATGTTATATATATACTCTCTCGATTAAGGGTCATCTGACATAATTTCAGGTAAAAATTCATCTATGAATGTTAATTTGGTTTCCCAGCTGAAAGGGGAGTTTAGCCATATTCAGGTCCCTTTATGAATACTTTAAATACAAGAACTTGGATCAGCTTTAAGGATCTTGATAAGCAAGAATATTCTAGGCATATCCTAATCCTTTGCTTCCTTGATTTCCACCTCCTTTATGGTTGCTTTGTTTCTTTTGGGGGGCAGGATTATGTCAGTGTCCCTTTGTCCCTCTCTTTGCTGATATGCTGGTTACCTAAGGTTTGTGCTGGATTTATCATCACACAGGTTTTTTTTTTTTTTTTTGCCTGGACAGCAAGTTCTTGGAGTCTGTCAAATGAGAACTTTCTCCTGAGATGCAAGCTGACAGGTGTGAACTGTGGCAGAACAGGGTGGGCCTCCCCACTAAGATAATTAATGGGAGAAATAATCTGAGGTAAAGGGAGCTTGGGAATAGGAAGTGTCCCCACGTGATGCTTAGAGTGTTTCTTAGGAAGAACCTACTGCCAAATGGAGACTAGACCAGAATCAGTCAGGGGCATTTACGGAGCACCTGCTATGTGCAGTATGGGAGAAGCATAAGTTGCAGTCTCTGCCTTCTGGAGCATATATTAATAATACTAAACAGATGCCATTTTGTGGAATCTTATCAAACATTAGAGACTATGTTAGGCACTTGTTAGCATTATTTCATCTTTACAACCATATGATATAAGGAGCATAATTATCCTCATCTAAGAGAGAACTGAGGTTCAGAAAAGTTAAGTAACTTTCCAAATCCAACTGGTTGCAGAGTCAGGACTAGAACCCAGGTCTATGTGATTCCGGTGTCCGTGGAGCCCAGCACCCATGCACACCAGGAAGCAGCATGAGGCAGCTTATAATCCGTGCCAGAACAAGTGTAAGAACTGGAAATGTAATACCTTGTTGAGAGAAGAGAGAGATCGCTGTGGGTTGGGGTGGGGAGGAATGTTCCCTACCAAGCATGTGACTGCAGGGTTATTGGGGACTAAGACAGGAAACCAATCACAAAGTGCACAGTTTGCTTCTCTGAGCTTTTGATTTGTCTTTTCATCAGAGAATCGGGCCAAATTGGAAAGAGGATATGAAACTAAAATGAGCACAGCAGGACAAAGCAGAAACACAGGCTGCCCTACGCCCTGGCAAAACCATTCTCAGTTCTAGAGTTGCGAAGTTCTCCTAAATTGATGGATAGCTGAAACTTACAGAAATTTGGTAGGCGTGTGTGGTCCTAGGGGTGCACTGTCCATTTTGAGGTAGCGTTCTAGAATGAGGGAGGTGATTTCTGACAGCAGAGAGCAAGGGAGGTTAACACACTTTGAATGAGCCTTTTCATTGACAGTATAACGTCTACTAAATTCAGCTCTGTGCTAATCTCTACTTCACTAACAGTGCAAATATAATTTGAAGGAGGAATTTTTGAAATACCTAAGAGAACAAACTTCCCGAGCACTTTTAAGAGCTTGAGAAATGCTGGTGTCTTATGAATTATGAGAGGCAGGCTGAGCTGCTAGAGCCCTGGATCGGGATTCGTACAGCTAGAGTCCTGGTCTCAACCCAGCCCAATGGTCTCTCTCTCTGTCTTTTTCTCTCTAAAGCTGGGTAAACTGGCTTTCTTCAATGGACCTTAAAAGTGAGCAAAGGCTCATCTGTAAACTAATGAGGCCAGTGCAAGTGGCATTTGAGTTCCACTCAGCTCTGAATTTATATAGATGTTCATTTAGAGGCAATTTAGAAATAGCCATTTATATTTCTGTTCAGAGTTGATGACATTTGTAACATAAATTATGGTTGAATATTCTGGGCGCAGTCAGCCTGCAGAAGAGTATGCTATAAGTGACTATTTGGTGCATGATAACTGCTTTCAAATATTTGAGGACCATCTGGGGGTAAAAGGAGCTACCAGTTCTATATGAATAGCAGAAGGCCAGAAGAACCTTCCCAGCTCAGGCAAAGGAAGACTTTTCTAAGAGTAAAATAGGTTATCAGAATAGAGAGCCTCCTGTCTTTGGAGGCATTCAAGAGAAGCCCAGATGAGACTCTTTGGGGGATGAAGCCCAGGAGTTCCTGCACTGAGCAGGAGGCTGGACTAGGCTCCTTCTAAATCTGTGATCCTATATCCTTGAAAACAATAGATCTGAATGTCCTTAAAAAGTATTCGGACTGTTCCCTAATTCCGGCTGGCCTTCTCCCCAATTCCTCTAGATTTCAGAGGTTTCACTGCATTCCTAAACAGGAAACCTCTCAGGGAAATGAGGATCCCAACAGTCCTTGGCCATGGGGGGAAATCCAGAAATAGAGCAATAAGGTTAAGCAGTTTTCCAAACTATTAGACCTTTTCATCAGCTGCTCTTCCCATGCCTTTTGCAAATGACCTACTAACTCCCAGAGAGAGAATAATGAAAGCTGCAAAGTCCTCTCTGCAAAGGCTATTACATCCTTCTCCACCCTCAGAATCATTGCGCTTCCTGTGATCTTTCCGTCACCCTAACAGGGAGGGAAGGAAGGGAGGCAAGTCCCTGGCCATCACCGGAGCACTTCAAAGTCTTTTGGCCCCAAAGACTGGAGATCTGGGGTCTGTGGTGGCCACTGCTCGTCTGGGTAACCTCAGGCAGGCCACTTCCCTTCTCTATACCTGTTTCGTCATCTCTGAAGAGAGATGCTTTGGTTTACATGAGTCCTCTGTTTCCTTCTTTCTCCAAAATTCTGTAAGATTTCAGGAAGTCTTTAGCTTCACACATCTGACTACATTGCTTTTA